TGTTGGCAGATAATTGAAGAAGCGACAATAAACACAATGTAATTGTTTATGAACTTTAATAATTGTGGTGTGGTTAAATAGTATTCTTTCTAATTGATAAACTATTACTATAAATATTACTAATGGTTAAGACGTCCGACCGCGCTGACTGTACGTCACGAACTCTACTTACTGTATATACACTGCTAACCTGTCTACCTAACTACTATAAAAACTAGCCTCTTTTAGAAAAGAACACAAAAGTAAAATACTAAGAACTAGCAACAAGACATACACATTTCTTAACATTACATAATAGTTACATATACCTATAATAATATTTATTTATCGTTGTACCAAAAAATAACAAAAAACAATTGTGAATCTTTTTAAATGTTTATGAAAATGTTGTTTTAATTCTTTTTATAAAGTTCTTTTTACCTGGCCCATGCAGATGGTACAATAACAGTATATTCCTCCACTATTTTTAAATTACCCACTGTTCATTATTACGACATATGTAGATGACTTTTAAATAAATAAAAAACAATTGTGAATCATTTTGAACGTCTAAGAATGTTCTTCTAATTTTTCATAAAAAGTTCTTCTTGTTTAGCCCATGTATTGTTTCAATTATGTCTAGGTGTTTCAAATGGGGTGTACACAGTTGGGAACGAAAATGTGATTCCCCGACATTCAACGACTACAGACATTGAAAAACAGGCCGTTTTTAAACCCAGCTTTTTGGAGCAGTTGTGCCAATGTTTTTCGTTTTATAATAACATAAAATCATTTCTAAAAACCAGAGCGGGATACGACGCCATTGGAATGGTTCATGGTTTCAGATTGTTCTCCATGTTATGGGTTATAGCGGTTCATTCAATGTTTTATGAAATTGACTTTTTCGAAAATGTTCCCGATGGATTCAGATTGTCAGAATTTTTTCTAACTCAGCCGTTCAATAATTCTACATATTGTGTGGATAGCTTTCTATTCTTAAGGTAATTTTTTATGGGATAGCTTTTTAAATAAATAATTAAACTTAACATTAGTGTTAGATTACTTATAGTAACTTTTAATACCTTTTTATTTACTTTACAGTGGTTTTTTGTTGTCCTATCTCTATTTCAAAACTAAAAAAGGGATATTGGAGTCAAAGAAGCCTTTCAATTTCACTGCTAAAGCTCTGGAATTCATCAGCCTCGTAATGAATAGATTTCTAAGGTAATACAACATTTGTGATATAATGTACTAAACCTTATACCTTACAACCGACTTTTGCTGTACTTTTAAAATATTTAGGGATGTTTTCTAAAAGATAATATACAAATATTTGCTGTGAATTTTAGGAATCCTGTCTTTTTAACTATTTCTGAGTGGATACTTAACACAATTTCTTTAAAAATTTCGTTTGTCCCTTATTATCTGTTTTGCAGTATGTGTTTGATGTCCAAATTGTTTAGAACAAGTGTTAAAATACTCTTTGAAAACAATGTTCATTTACGAATTCCCAAATAGTTTCGAGAGATTCATACACGTTAATTTTTGAGAGTTTTGTTAATTTACGTAATTATACCATTTGCATTTCAACTAGATTAACACCTCCCTACATGGTGGCACTGGTTACCGCTGATGTCCTTTACACATGGCTACGAAGACATTCTGTATTATATTCCAGTGAAAAGGTGGACGAAGTTTGTCCAAAGTATTGGTGGAGGAATCTCCTCTACATCAACAACTTGTTCCCCAATTCCGAACTATGTTTAACATGGTCGTGGTACTTATCAGCAGATATGCAATTCTTTTGTATTGCAACACTGATATTAATTATTTGCACTGTGTAAGTTTTACCTTTATTACCATATTATACAGGGCAACTAAGAGTTCTACATATTCCTTGAAAAGGTTCATACTAGAGGTTATTTTCAATAAATCAGACTTTATAAGACGTATAAAATAATTCGAAGTGATCTGTATTCTGTCGAAACTGCGAGACGCGGATCGCGGTTTCGATCTTTTTGGATCTCATCAGCGCGTCGCAGGCGTTTACTGCGCCATTTGTAGTATTTTCTAAAACGCACTGTTAAGACAGCAGGTAAAAGTTGGTCTGTGTTCTGTCGGAGCTGCCTGCGACGCGCTGATGAGATCCAAAAAGATCGAAATCGCGATCCGCGTCTGGCAGTTTCGACAGAATACAGACCACTTCGAATTATTTTATTCGATTAAGCTAACGTGCCCATCACGTTGAGGTTGGCTACGCCAGGATTCGTTTTCAGCAAGTAAATATCCACACAAGTGGACCTTGTTGGAGTATACGTAATCCTAAAATGTAGCATTGTACTACAGATGGCGTTTACTGCGCCATTTGTAGTATTTTCTTTTTTTGTAAGACGTATTATCAAAAGTAATTGATTATAAAAGGAATATTCCACTTAGACTTCAATGGATGGCTTTTAGGAAGATTATGAACTATTGCTTGTATTTTGTACATATTCTAAGTGTCATATCTGTTTTCGAGTAGGAAATAGAAAGAATTATCAATGCCATTTGGAACCGTTTACTTATGGAATTATAGAAATTTTGGGAATTATTTTTTTAAATGTTTTAACCTCTAGTCGATAGTGCATCGATCAAATGGCCCCGTCAAGGAATAGGCAGAATTTTCAGTCACCCTATATACTTACTTCCCCATTGTATCTATTAATTTTTTTTTTTATTTTAGTAATTTCAAGGTTGCAGCCACAATTACAATAGCTTTATTATTCACGGGGATGTTTTCACTCGGAATTGCTTCATATCAATTTGGATACGTGCCAACGTGAGTTTCATCAAACTCCTACAACATTAATTTGTAAAATAATACTCTACATGTTTATTTACAGTATGGATGAACAATTAATAAGTTTGGACGCCATATACCATTTACCATGGCAAAGGATAGGCCCCTATATCGTCGGTTTCATAACTGGCTACATATTGGTTGTAAAACTTGACATGAAACTCAAGATCAGTAAGGTAATGAATAACACAGTTTTATTGTTATTATTAAGTAAGTAATTGAACTTTTCTTTTGTTTTTTAGAGAACTAAAACAATTTGTTGGATTATATTTCCCTGTATTAATTTGTACATAATCTTTGGGATTTGGGGACGAAATCTTTCTGTGGAATACGCGGCCTTTTTTATGGGATTTTCACGGACGTTTTGGGGTGTTGGTTTAGCCTGGTTGTTTATTGCATGCTGCACAAATCATGGAGGTGACTAGTTAGAACAAAGACTTAATAATACCTACTTAATAAATGTTATAATATAACAACTTTTAATCCTTTTGTTTTTCAGGAACAGTAGACAAATTCTTATCATTTCGAGGATGGGTTCCACTAAGTAAATTAACCTACAGCGCGTATTTAATAAATCCCCTCATTATGACCATGTTTTATGGTACTACGGGTAGTAGTCAACACGTTTCCCTCTCCGGAATGGTAAGTAAAAATAGTTTCAATTTTTGTCCCTTTAAATTTTTAAGACGGTTGCACACTTATGCTGCCGATCTGCTGCAATTCGCGTCGCTGTGACGTAATAACACCAATCGACGAATGAATGACGTTTGTGTCCACGAACGTAACATGTCTTGGCTTGTTACGATGCGACGCGATTACGCGAATAGAGAGCGGTAGAAGTGCGTGTCGACCTTTAAATCAGATTTATTTATTGTGTTGTTTTCATTGTTAAAAAAACAATTTCTTTTGTTTTTATTAGTTGTTTGACGTTTGTGCTACTTGGTTGTGCACATTTTTCTTGTCTCTCTGGTTTTCCATGCTTTTTGAATCGCCGTACATATCGCTGACAAAATTAGTTCTACAAAGGTCTGTGAGGAAACGACCGACAACAACAGAAGAAAACAAAAACTAACAATGAACATGGGTGTATACCGTGTTATTGTTTAGTTTATATCTTCTTTACTTTTACAATTAAGTAGGCAATTGATGTATAAGTTTGTAAATATAATACAATTTCATTCTGTGATCGCTGTAGCTTTTAAGATTTGTAAACACTGGTTTAGTATTTACACAAATACAAAATAGAATTAAAATAAAAATTGTGCTTTGTTTTTTTTTGTTTTCGGTTCGTTTAGTGTATTGTATAAAGGTAACACTATAAGAAGAAAATTTTACGGATTTCGAAAGGAAATCAAAATCGTGGATTTCAAGCAGTTATGCGCCATCTTGTACAGTTTTAGAAATTGATATTTCAAAAACCGTTCTAGAAAGACGTAAAATATTAAATTAAATGATACTAAAAGAACCAAACCGACTTTTGCTGTACTTTTAAAATATTTAGGGATGTTTTCTAAAAGATAATATACAAATATTTGCTGTGAATTTTAGGAATCCTGTCTTTTTAACTATTTCTGAGTGGATACTTAACACAATTTCTTTAAAAATTTCGTTTGTCCCTTATTATCTGTTTTGCAGTATGTGTTTGATGTCCAAATTGTTTAGAACAAGTGTTANTCTAAAAACTTTTTAATATATAAAGCAACTATTTTCTGCGGTCGTGCCTCCCATTCGCTAAGTTGTTCCCTATCAGTTCTCACCTGAAATAGTAAATAAATAACTTCATTTTTAACGGCACATATTTATTAAACAAATCGCTCAAGAAATAAAAGGCGTTCTTACTTGATCATCTACAAGGCGATCCAGGAAAGTGGCATTAATTACTCCAGCCTTGATTCCAGCCTTGTAGGTGAGAGCAGCAAAAGCTGCCGCTTCCATTTCAATATTGCGGACTCCTATCGAGTAAGCTTTTCGTAAAAATTCAAGTTTTTCTTCTTCTGTGTACTCGCAAAAAGCCCCGTCACGTCTTCCTTGTCCTAAAGAAATTTTTATACTTGAACGTCCTTTTTTTTAAAAACCAAATACAAAGACAATGCGAAGTGTATTCCTATCATCTCCATTTTTTAAGAATTGTTTTATACCAAATGTTAGTAAAGTTCAGAAGTCTTGTGTTTCGTCCTCAAACATATAGAATGTCCTCAGGACTCAGTAGATGAGAACGGACAGAATGAAAATACAGAATTAATCACGTTTGCGAAACCAAATAAGTTTTTATTTGGTTGTGGTGGTCAGTGGAGCGTCGTAGGAGTTGTAACCATTTCCCATGTGATTGAGGGTGAAATATTGACAATAGAAGAAATGAGTTCAAACTTCAGTCCTATTAACGCTTTTTGTATTTGGTGGAACTTTAATAATTTCGGGAATAATCCGGGTATATAAATTTATATGTAGTTCTATCTGCATGTCCTTAATGTAACAAATATCTAAGGACACTGTTATCGTCTCCTTTTTATTTGTAATATCGTGTGATCGTAAAAAAAAACAAGAAAGGTATTATCTTGTTTTCGTTCTACCAGACTTCAGTTTGTTCGGTTTTTACGAAAACATGACAACGTTGTTGAATTTCCCGAAGAAAACGTAGTGAAAAGTGAAGAAAAGACAATAATTACTTTTTGTAGTGATACAGTGATGAAAACAAGGTTCAAATACATGTCTGGTAAGTGCATTATTTTGTTTGATAATGTAGCATAGTGTATGAAAAAAAAAGGTTTAATGAATTCCTTTACTTTATCTTAAAGTGGGGGTGAAGTTTTAATGATTTTCTTTACGAAATAGGACTTACCTTCATAAAAATCTAACGCAGACATGGTTACTCCTGGTGTAACAGGATATTCCAGTTCTTTTGCGATTTCTATTAAATCGTCAGCTAATTCAGAGTGGATAACTGCTGGCCTTTCAGTCGGTTTTCCCAAAATCGCCTAAATATGTACGTATAATGCAGACAATATACCTAAATATTTCTTTTGGTCTACTAACCAAAGAATAGTGCTCTTGTAAATATCCGTTTACAGCCTTTTTTGCTACAACCACTGTTCCGGGATCCACCCCCAAACCACCTGAAGTTCCCAATCGGAAGAATATCGGATCTTGCACTTTAGCGTAATGCAGAAGTTTAAATATTTCGTGTAAAAGAATTGATAAAGAGGGTTCCCCCATTCCGTGCTAAAAAATTCTAAATGGCATTTTTCCACATGCAAATTTTGACAAAGTAAATATTAATAAATTGGGAAGTCCGAAGTCTGAAAAACTCTCCAACAATGTTACAATCTTTTCAATTTTCGTAAATACTAAAGATTCAGTAGCATTAGTAAAAAGATTCACTGTTCTCATAAAAAATAAATATCAGTTTAATCTGTAATCTTTCTTTTTTATTGTTTTCTTAAATGTTTAGTAAATATAATGATAAGATTGATTTATTAGTCCAAATGAAACTACCTAAATTTTTAGCACTAATTCTGAACTGTACAATCTAGACTATGAGTTAGTATCAGTGCCTGATCCCAGATAGATTTTGTCAAGTCTAATACAACGTAATTTTTAGACAAGAATCTATTGACAATAAATTAAACATTTGTATTGAAAATAAAAAGAAAGTTAGGTAGTTTCGGAAGTTTGTTCATAAATTAAATATTGTCAATCATTTTATAATTTTGAGGTAGATGAACTCTGCATCCTTTATATTAACTTACATTAACACATAGCACTGGTCCCACTTTATACATGCTAAAGCGATGGGAAGCTGCCGTAATGTCATCTAGAATTACACGGTCTATAGCCAGCCTAAATCCAATTTCTTCGTTTATAGTTTCAGCAGTACTTTTCATCCGTATTGCTTTACCTCCCATGCAAACAAACTAATATGTTTATGTATAAAATAAAAATTAATAAGTAACAGTACGTAAAAAATTGTTTTAATAATATAACCATTGAGTTAATTAATTTAACTCAATTAAAATTAGTAAGTAATGAATTTAGAATTGCTTCACTGAAACTCAATGAATTACATAATACTAAAACTGCTTCGGTAAACAAATATGCATCGAAAATGTTAGGAATAATTTAGTAGTTATTATACAAAATTAGGCATATGACAATGAAATTAAAAGATCATTGAAAGAACATATTTATTTGTAAAGATGACTGAACTTTTGTAACTTAATGTAAGTTTAATCATAGGTTTAAGGTAACGTATGACAGGTGAGGGGTTGAAATTTAATCTAAGTTTGGTTTTAAAGGTTTAAATGAGTCATCAGGAATAGCATCAGTTATTTACAACCACCCCGTTGCGATCAAGGATGGAAGTAAGCGGGAAGTAATCATAAAATCATATCCCAAAGTCATCACTTGCTATCAAGGGGTCAGAAATAGCCCTCCTGATGACTGAAGGGTTCCTTGAAGCATGCCAATGGGTTCAAAATAACGTTCATATAATCAAGGCAAATTTAGTGTTTGGCGTCACCTAGCGTGTTTTCATGCGCGTTAGACAACGCGGAAGGTCGCAGTGGTACTAATTGAAACCGCTGAACTTAAGTTGTACTACTCGCTACTAAATGGCAGCACCATCTACTTTTTCAAATTCAATTTGAATCTTAAAAATTGTGTAGGATGATTCACTTTTAAAGTACAGATTCAGAGCGCCAAACCCAAATTAACAAATACACTTATTACAATAACTATATAGACAATATTTAAGTACCTGAATATCTCCAAATCTTTTGCTAAGATCTTCACTAGTATCCAAAGCTAGATGATACAGATGATCAATCTTCTGTTTCTGAAGTTCATCGTTTTGTAATAAAAATGTAAACTCATTTGGCTTCTGCTTCCTACGCTTCTTATCTTCAAGTTTAGTGTATTGCAACCAACGCTGTTTAATCTCGTCGTTTATTAATGTATTAGAAGTCGAAATAGGGTCACTTGTTTCATTCGACATCGCAGTTTAATAAATTGTTATCAAACGATATGCACACACGTTCGCATGCAACTGCATCAAAATTTTCGCGTTGATACCAATTGGAATTTAAATTGTGTGCAGCAAAATGTATTTAGTCACGTGGTCATTATTCTACGGGAAATATTTTAAAACTGTTATCAGTTCTGTATTTAAAGTAAGTGAATATCGAAAGAAAGATTAGATCAGTATCGTCTACTTTATTGATTCGATATTTTTATAAATGATTATACGGAACCTACACGGAAAAGTGAGAATAACATTAATTTAATTATTGTTTTTGTTTATTATTTTTTTTATAAAAAATTGCTATGTACCGAAAATACGCTGTTTTTTTGACCAGTTTAAGATGAACTTGAGAGGATGAGTTTTCTATTAATAATATTGTTATACTCGTAGTGGTTCTTGGCAATCGACGATGTAAGCAAATGCAAAACTGTAGGCTGATTACAATTAAATAAAAATCTAGTCTTTATTTTTATACTTGCTAAGGTCTGATAATAGATAAGTAGCCATCTATCTATAAGGTTTATATTCTACATAAGTACGGGGCCTCCAACTCCAAAATCCAAAACTACTTCTCATACTTATTGAAGATACTTTGGCCTTGTTGGGAGTTTCATTAAAAAGGACTAGTCGAAACGAACTATTTTCAGGGGTTGTTCTTATTAGGTACAATATGTTTATAAATAAAACGGACATACAGACACACAAGGGTTCCGTTTTTCATTGTTTATTTTAGAATTATAAAAAAATACCTATTTAAGACCCTTACAACAAGCTCTTTCGTTTTATATGTCACATGGTACAGTTTGCAAAACTTTTTTTTTATTTCCTATTGGCCCATCAAAAATGACCAGTAGAACAATTGACTTTGACAGATGGACAGTGATCTTATAAGGGTTCCGGTTTTCATTCGGACGTACGGAACCCTAAAAAAGAGTAAAGTTGAACTGAATGAATTAGAGGTGATTAAAAAGGGCGTAATCATTTGCGAGACGGTTTACGATACTGATAATTACCACCCCAGCCTTGATTCTACCTTTGGTAAAAGTTACTTCTTCCATTTCTATATTGCGAACCCCTTTTTCGTATGCTTTGCCTAAAAATTTTCGCTGTTTTTCTTCCGCGAAATCACAAAACATTCTATCTCGCCGTTCTTATCATAACTACATCATTTCTACAGATTTTTTTTCTAATAATTAAAATAAACCAAAAAGTCACTAAATTGCAGTATAGGAAAGTAATAAAAATGTCATGTGTTCTACTTTCAGTTATAAAAACGAGATATTTCTCTAAAAAGTGATACAATTGTGAGTTTTTAAATAATTCGTTTATAATCATTTATCTTTGAAAAATGAGATTCGTCTCAATCCGTTGGTCTACGATTTCTATTTTATTAAATCTCATCAGCACGCCGTACGACATATACTGTTGTAACTAGGTGTTACATTACATTCTCAAGTTGACCAATAGATATTGCGTGATATCGGCAATCCGATACTGCAAACTTTTTTGCAAAACAAGCTTTTTCCCATGCCTATACTGTAAAATACAACAAGGTTGACAGAAAAAGAAAGCAACATGGGTGTTATAGCAAAATTTATTCTGTAACATGTCTTAATAAATTAACATTTACCACAATAAGTATAAATATCATAAACCTATTCTAGCTTTTTACTAATCGCAACTAATTGTACAATGCCGTTTAAAATTCCGTTGCTAAAAGTGACGTTACCATAAACAGTGTACCATAAAATACAATTTTAAAAATGTAACAAATCAACAAGACTGAATGCCAGATTTATTAATTGTACACACTGTATATGATAATCAGCAAGTAGGTTTTTCTAATACAAGATGTAAGCTTCAACTTTTATAACTTCTACCAGCTAATACAATTTGTAATAATTATATTATTAGCTTAAATGTATAATACATATATAGTTTATGTATGAGTATTACTCTACATATTAGATACAAATAGAAATAAAAACCCTGAGTACAAAAAATTAAAACTAATTTCCAAAAGTGCATCCAGTTACGTACAACTACATCATGTACAGTAAATTAATTAATCGAAATTGAATTTATAATTACATTTATTTACGTTTGTTAATTATTTTGATGAGCATATGTGTATTTAAAAATTGGGCAAACGTTTTGTGGTTCTTCGTATAAGTTTAAAATAATATTTTTAACAATAACATTAACACTAGTGTAGAAAATTGCAGTTTTCAACAATTCAATGCTACAAAACTCTAAAGTTTATTCCTACGTTTGTGTAATTCAAAAGGTGTTACAATACAATCTTTTAACATTTAATGTTACTAACAACAATTAAAATACATACATACAATTTGTCGTTGTTCGTATAGTGAAATTTATATTGTCAAATATTATCATTATTTATTTAATACACATAGAGCAATTATTTATAGGTAATATAAGTTGTAGCTGTGTTATACGATAATTTTGTAAACTAAATTTCACTAAAATTTAAAGTTCGTAAGAAATCGTAAATATTAAGAATTCCTGAATAATAATACATTCGAATAAGTTCTTTATAAATACGTATGGCAGTTTTAATACACGTTAGGGTTTTTGATATGTTCATTATAAAGAATTTAATTTCTATCTGTTTTGTTGTCTCAGTATTGTAAATAATAAAAGAAATTCTACAGAAATAAATGAATGTTTTCAATTCAAGAGATTGATGCGCTAATGGAGGAAATTCTGCTATTACCTGCTAAAAACTGGCACAAAAATATTTAAAATGAGATGAAAAGCCAAAAAGTATTTTCTAGAATCGTCAAAGATCACCTAACCATCATCTGATTTTTAATATGCAGCGTTTAGCCCCCGAATCTTTTTAATCCCGGAAATCAATACAATCAAGTGAATCTCTTTTGAATTGATTAAAAAAGAAAATAAAATTGCATTTCGTTTGAATCAGAAACTGTAAGATGATGATCAGAAAAAACAACAAAATTCACTTCTATGATTGTCATTTTTGAAAATTTCTTGTGTTGATTCGATTTCTTGGGGATATGTTTTACTATAAGTTTATTTAAATTAGGTAATTTTTATATCATTTTTTTTCACTGTTTTCTTTTGCTAAAATAATGAACTTTGTATGGTCTTTCGAATATGTGGAATTAATGAAAATACGATTTAAAATTTTTGTATTGTCCTAACAAGTTTCCTTTTCTTAACGAATTTAATGCCTGTGTAAAAGTTGTAATTTCCGCTAAGTAGATAGCAAATACTGATAGCATCTTATCTCAAAAAATTGTCAAAGATTATTATTTACGGGAATTATAAAGAGATTAAGCAGTTCTTCCAATTTTACATTTCTGATAATTTGATTATAAATTAAAATAATCAACAAACTTAAAAGTACATTCTATGCCTTAAATATTAATCAAAAACAATTAGTATAAAGACATCAGTTGCTTCTGGAAAAAACTAAGATGTTAGAAGAACAAAATGACGTTTTGAAATATTCTGTGATGTTGAACAATTTCAGAGCTTCATTTTTTCTTTTTTTTATCTTGTTCTTATTTTTAATTACGTGAATATCTGGGATAAACACTTGAATATTCTTTTAGATTAATTAACGACTGATGTCATAGCATTTACGTTCAGATTTAGGTAAAGCAAAATTGAAATACAAGCCTCAATCATCGTGAATTTTGAAATTTTCTCGACTGAATTTAAAAATAAAAGAAACAATTAAAAACTTTGGTTATCTCAAGGAAATTGCTTCACAAAGATCTGAAACAGCGCAAAAATTCCGAAAATAATATGTTTAACTTCCAAGGATCTTCAATCGTATGAATACTTCAAATTACATAAGAAACTGTAATTAAAATCATCGGTGTGTTGCTATTTGTATCATTTGTTATTAAATGTTCATATTAATATTAAAAGTTCAACTAAGTATATTAAAATTCATCGACCTCTTTGAGCATTACAGTTCATTGCAAGACTATTTCAACCGGATGAGGATTATTACACACTATGCCTCCCAATAAAATTGCTTTATGCTTGGCTTGTTTTCAAGATTCATTAAGGGTGAAATCATGTATCCGTGTAGGTAATATTATTTGTGCAAAAATGTTATTTCATTTATTGATTGGGTAGGTACATATAGGTACGCAAATAGAATTGAATAAGATGAGATACAATAAAGAAAGTTACAATGAGGAGGTATCAGAGGGAGTAGGAGAACAGATCAATAAGAAATAGGAGAGATAGGTTAGTAGGACACCTTTTCGGGCATGGAGGGCTAGTTAAGGATATATTGAAAGCATAAACAGGAGCTAACACGAGAAGGGAAGTTTTAGGGGAATGCGAAGATAAGCTCAAGATAGGAAAGAATGGAGGTGCGTGTCCAACCAGTTTTAGGACTGACGATTTTATGATGATGATGAAGCTTTCTAAAATCTTTAAAATAGACGAAAAGTGTCAAAATGTTTGCTAAAAAATTTAAATTAATCGAGAACATGATTTTTAAACATCAACGAAAACGAAGACTTTCGACAAAAAATTGATAACTGAGCTTTCATATAAATACGTTTTTTAGAAAATAATTTTTAGGCGTTCAAGATAAAATTACAAACTTTATACGGGATAGATAAACTCAAAATGGTTGTTGTAGAACTTTTGAATTCAATACCAAACATTTTCACAAACTTTTTAGACAAAAAGAATATAACAAGTGGAAATACTGAAAAATTGATTCTGCTGTATCTACCTGATCACATACCTAAGTTATATGCACTTTTTATGCAGTTAAAGATATTATTTAATATGTGTTCTTCCATGCAAGGCATCATGAAATTAGCTGCTACGTATGAAATAGCTGTTGGGGAAATTTTTCGTCTTTGTCAGCTAAAATATTTACCTACAACGAGATTTTTGAAAGAAAAAAAAATGTTTTACTTAAAATAGTTAAAATTTTGTACAGGTTCATCATTAAAGAGGAAAGACCTGATACTCTAACTAACTCTAATTTATGGGGGTTTGTGTGTGTAAAATTTTAGTTGGAAAAAAAGTAAAGCAGCTAGTTATTCGGTTGCGCCCCCCTCCCCAAGGAAGCCTGAACATCATCAATGTATTCTACTACTTACTATTAGTACTAGTTATAATTTTCAATCTATGGCCTGTAGGGTGTCTCATTTTTATTTGTAATATACTTATGGATTTTTCTGTGAAAAAATGAAACAAACAAAAACAGAATAATAAAACAAAATAAAATTTTATTTCTTATTATGTCCACAGATAGCGTTTATATTCTAAATTATGTTTTAGATATTATTTTTTCTTCACAATTTATTTTTATTTATTTTTCAACCTTTTTATTGACGACGTACCCATTGTTTGCAATCGTTATCAGGCAAAGTACCGAAACTTTTCGAATTTTTATGTTAACCGATCCACAGCAGGAACATTTTTAATCAATAGCAACAATAACAATAATCTAAATTTAATATTTTAGAGACTTTACTTATTAGAAAATTGAAGAAATTTGTTGGCCATTAGTGAGGTATACTACACCTCCAATATACTAATTAATACACATCTAAGTATTCTTGTCGAACAACATAAGTGTAATAATATACAGGGTGGTTCGTAAGTTATATCTAAAATTCATAAAGGAAAAGATAGTTAATTTGACGTAGCTAAGTTGTTTTTAAAATATAAATACAAAATGCAAAATATTCTACCAATTTTGACTAAGCACTCTTTCTAAATAATATAAATTTCAATTAATTGTATTAGAATAGTTATTAAAGCCAAAGAAAAGCTTTCAAAATATCAAAAGCATTGATATGTTGTAATGCCCAGAATTATTTTACTTTATTTTAAAAGCTATTTAGAATTTGCTTTCTTCAAAACAATGTTACATTTAGTACGTGAAATAGAAAATTGTTTGATAGTTTGCATCTTCTATTTCACGTCTCTGCTAGCGAAACACCCTTTATTTTATCCTCACATACCTACTAAGGGTGATAAGTAATATAGAGTATTTGTGCCACTTTAAACAATTATGTCATATAGTATAATAAATAACAAAAATAATAGACGTAAAATAAATAGCCTACACGTATAAATAGTGAATATTTGAGCTCGCATTCTCAAATTTAGTCAAAAGTTTCGGATTCCTGTTGGACCAGTTTGAATCTCCTAGGACTTTTCACAGCCATCGACCCGTGACCCTCGAACGAAAGCCTACCTTTCATTTGGAGGTACCTTTTTATGTATCTCGCTACCAGTTTCTGTGGCCTCATTTGCCATTCGTTTAAAACCTCCTTAGGCGCCATCACCTATGGAGTCAAACGTGCAAAAAACACATCAATTTGAATTTGTCGTTGTAATTAAATCCAATATATATAGTATATTAGTAAAACAGTTATCATAAAGTACCAATAATAGTACAGGGATTACCAACCAGTCGATCATGGGTATATTTGAGACAATCAAAATTGACAAAGCCTGCAATAAATAATCTGTGAGAATGGACTTATGTATCTTCTTTCTTGTTTCCACTTGAGACTGTAGTCATTGGCTGAGTTTCGAACACGCTCTTAAGTTAGGAAATCCTTCATGAGTAGTACAAACAGAGCCGGACTGAAGATTTTGACCCGGGGTGCGATGTAACCAAATGGCCTGGTTTAGAAGGGAATGTGCACAAATTTTAACAGCACTCGTTTTTAAATAAATTTAAGAAGTTAGGAGGAAATTTGCGTTTGTCTTTGCCTCGGTCTTT